AAGGAGAAAATATTAAGGGCAGCCAGAGAGAAAGATCAAGTTACCCATAAAGGTAAGCCTATTAGGCTTACAGCAGATCTCTCAACGGAAACCCTACAAGCTAGAAGAGAGTGGGGGCCAATATTCAGTTTATTTAATCAACAGAACTTTCAGCCCAGAATTTCATATCCTGCCAATTTAAGCTTTACATTTGAAGGAAAAATAAAATATTTTAGGAACAAGCAAGTACTCAGAGATTTTATTACCACCAGGCCTGCTTTACAAGAACTTCTAAAAGAAGCATTATACACAGAAAGGAACAACCAGTATGACCCTTTCTAAAAATACACCAAAAAGTAAAGAGCATTAACATAAAGAAGAATTTTTATCAACGAAAGGACAAAATAGCCAGTTAATATCAAATGGCAGCAACCCTAAATTTAAACCGACCAAATCTCCCAATCAAAAGATACAGACAAAATCTAACGGTATATCCAAAGATATACATAGACTCAAAATAAAGGGTTGGAAAAAAAAAAACGTACCAACCAAATGGAGAGCAAAAATAAATAAATAAAAAGCAGGAGTTGCAATTTTCACATTTGACAAAATAGATTTCAAAGCTACAAGGATACAAGGGTAAAAGGATTAATGTAATAATAAGAGATCTTAACACCCAGATACATAAGACCCATAATGAGATTTAGATTCAACGAGACAGAAAATTGATAACGATATCCGGGACTGGAACTAAGATCCAGAACAAATAAACTCAATAGAGCTCTCCATTTTAAACACACAAAATATACATTATCCACAAAATCTAATGATATATCTAAAGATATACAAAGACTCAAAACAAGGGGATGGAAAAACACTCACCAACCAAATGGAGAGAAAAAAATAAATAAATAAAAAGCAGGAGTTGCAATTCTCACACTTAATAAAATAGATTTCAAAGCTACAAGGATGCAAGGGTAAAAGGATTAATGTAACAATAAGAGATCTTAACACCCAGATACATAAGACACATAATGAGATTTAGATTCAACGAGACAACAAATTGATAATGATATCCAGGACTTGAACTCAGAGCCAGAACAAATAAACACAATAGAGGTCTCCATTTTAAACACATAAAATATGCATTAACCACTTTAAATACTCAAAATATTGATTGGCCATTATTGAAACCCATTTTAGGAATGAAGTAATATTCCTTTTTCCCTCATTTTCTTTTTTTCCCCTTCTTTTTCTCTTCTTCCCTCTAAAAAAAAAAAAGAAGAAAAAACAGAAAAGATTAAAACATCCAAATAACATTTGGATTACAGAAGGAATTCAAGATTATTTTGAAATGAATGACAGCAGGAATCCTATAAATCATCAAAAAAAAATAAGTCTTTAATCTATTTTTATTTATTTTTTGTATTTGGCAAGAGAGGGCTCTAGTTTCATTCTTCTACATGTAGATATTCAGTTTCACCACTACTATTTATTGAAGGGACCATCCTTTCCCCAATGTATGTTCTTGGCACACTTGTTGAAAATGAGTTGCCTTGTAGACGTGTAGACTCATTTATGGGCTCTCTATTCTGTTGCTTTGGTCTATGTGACTGTTTTTATGCCAGTATCATGCTGTTTTGGTTACTAAAGCTTGATAGTGTAATTTGAAGTCAGGTAATCTGATTTCTGCAGGTTTGCTCTTTTGCCCACGGTAACGTTGGCTTTTTGAGGTCTTTTGTGGTTCCATATAAATTGAAGAATTGTTTTTTTTTTTCTATTTCTCTGAAGACTTTCATTGGTATTTTGATAAGGATTAAAATAAATCTGTAGATTTCTTTAGGTAGAATGGACATTTTAACAATATTGATTCTTCCAATCCGTGAATATGGGCTATCATTTCATATTTTTCTGTCCTCTTCAATTTTTTACATTGAAACATCAATGTTTTACAGTTTTGAATGTAGAGATCTTTTACTTTTTTGTTAAATTAATTCCTAGGTGTTCCATTTTGTTTGCAGCTATTGTAAATAGGATCACATTTTTAATTTCTTTTTCAGATTATTTGCTGTTGGCATATAGAAATGTTACTGACTTGTGTAAACTGATTTTGTATTCTGCAACCTTACTGAATAGTTTATCAGTTCTAATCATTTTTTTGGTGGAGTCCTTAGGATTTTCCTTATATAAGATCATACCTCTGCAAACAAGGGTAATTTGAGTTTTTTCTTTCCAATTCTGATGCCCTTTATCTTTTTCTCTTCTCTGATTGCTCTAGTAAGTACTTCGAGCACTAGGTTGAAAAGAAGTGGTGAAAGTGGGTATCCTTGTCTTGTTTCAGATCTTAGAGGAAAGGCTTTCTGTTTTTTCCCATTCAGTATGATACTGGCTGTGAGTTTGTCATATATGGCTTTCATTTTGTTGAAGTGTGTCTCTTCTATATCCAAATTTTTAAGGGTTTGTATCATTAAGGAATGTTGAATTTAATCAAATGTTTTTTTCAGCATCGGTTGAAATGATTTTGTGGGTTTTTTTTCATTCTGTAGACACACTGTATCACATCAATTGATTTGCATATGTTGAACCATCCTTTCATCCCTGGGTAAATCCCAGTTGGTCATAATGAATAAACTTTTTTATGTGTTGTTGAATTCAATTTGCTAGTATTTTCTTGAGTATTTTACATCAACTTTTTTTTTATGGATTTTGACTTACAATTTTATTTTTCTCTTGTATCTGTCTTTTTTTGATATCTGTGTAATTCTGGTTTAAAATAATCAGTTTGGAAGGAAACTTCTCTTCTATTTATCAGAATAGTTTCAGTAGGACTGGTATTAATTCTTTAAGAAATGCTTAGTAAAATTCAGTAGTGAGGCCATTGAGTCCTAGTCCTTTTTTTGGGCGGGGCGGGGGGGTCCAGGGAGGCTTTTTATTATGGTTCAGTTCACTGCAACCTCTGTCTCCCAGACTCAAGAGATCCTTCCACCTCAGCCTCTAAAGTAGCTGGGACTACAGGCATGTGTCACAATATCTGGCTGATTTTTGTAGAGACAAGGTTTCACTGTGTTGCCCAGGCTGGTCTAGAACTCCTGAGATCAAGTGATCCACTGGCCTTGGCCTCCCAAAGTGCTGGAATTACAGACATGAGCCACTATTCCTGGCCCTTAAATTTTCTTCTTAATTTCTTCACTGACCCACTAATCATTCCAGAGCATTTTGTTTAATTTCCATATATTTTTATAGTTCTCTCCATTCTTCTTGTTACTGATTTCTAGTTTTATTCTGTTGTGATCATGGAAGATACTTGTTACAATATCAATTATTTTAATTTGTAAAGACTTTTGTGGCCCAAAATATGGTCTATCCTTGAGAATAATTTTCATGCTGAGGAGAATAATGTACATTCTGTAACCATGGAATGAAATGTTTTGTAAATATCTATTAGGTCCCGTTGGTTTACAGTGCAGATGAAATCTGATTTCTCTGCTGATATTGTGTCTAGATGATCTGTCCAATGCTGAAAGTGGAGTGTTAAAGTCTTTAGTTATTATGATATTGGGGTCTCTCTCTCTCTTTAGCTCTAATAATATATGGTTTATATATCTGGGCGCTCCAATATTTACAACTATTATTTTCTCTTGCTGAATTGGCTCTTTTATCATTATAGATAATGAACTTCTTTGTCTATTTTATAGTTTTTGTTTTGAAATCTCATTTCTTTGACATAAGAATAACTACTGCTGCTCTTTTTTGTTTCCATTGGCATTAACTGTCTTTATTTATCTCTATATTTTCAGTGTGTGTGTCTTTACAGGTGAAGTGTGGTTTGTTGTTGTTGTTGTCAACAGACCATTGGGACTTTTTTTTAAATCCACTCAGCTATTTAGTGTCTTTTGATTGGAAAGTTTAGTTCCTTTACATTGTTTTATTTTTGATAAGTAAGAACTTATACCTGCCATTTTGTTATTTGTTTTCTGGTTATTTTCTGATTTTTAATCTTTTTTTTTTTTTCATTTTTTCTGTCTTCCATTTAGCGAAGGTGATTTTCTCTGATGGGATTTTTTTATTTTTTCTGTACCTGTTGTATGTTTTCTGAAACTACCATGAGGCTTACAAATAATATCCTATTACCTATTGTTTTAACCTGATGACAATTTAACCCTGATTGCATAAACAAACAGGCAAATGGAAAACTAATAGAAAATGTACACTTAACAACTTTTCTCTACTTTTTAACTTCGTTATTTCTGTTTGTTTATAATATCTGAGTCTTGAAAACTTGTTATACTTATAATTTTGATTGGTTCATTTGTTAATCTTTCCACTCAACATTTAAGTAGTTTATACATCACAGTCATGGTCTTAAAATATTCTATTATTCTGTGGACCTGCTATTACCAGTGAGTTTTGTACCTTGGGAAGACTTCTGAAGGCGTTTCTTGTAGGACAGGCCTGATGTTGGTGAAATACCTCAGCTTGTTTTTCCTTTTTTTTCTTTTCTTTTTTTATCTCTGCCATTTGAGAGTTTGGTTATTCAGTGTCTTGTGGTAGTCCCGTTTGAATTAAATCTCTTGGTTTTCTATAACCCTCTTCTACTTGAATGTTAACATCTTTCTCTATGTTTGTGCAATTCTCTGTTATTAACTGAACAAACTTTCTAACCTAATCACTCTCTCTACTTCCTCTTCAAGGCCAATAATTCTTAGATTTGCCCTTATGAGGCTATTTTCCAGACCTTGTAGCCATTCTTTATTTTTTTCTTTTATTTCCTGTGTATTTTCAAATAGCCCATCTTTAAGCTCAGTAGTATTTTCCTTTTTTTTTTCCTCATGACAAAATCACTTTAATACCCTATCCTTCTTCAATCAAGAGATCGAAAGAAATGGCAAGGCCTGTATTTACAAAACTGATGAAAATCACACTGTAATAATCAGTGAACAGTAGAACTGCACGGGTCCGTGTTTCCAACTTTTCCCACCAAGATTCTACATCAAGGTAAAAAAAGATTCTTTTATACAAATCCAAGAAGGATGTGGACAGAGGTGCCAGCACAATTGTCAAAGATGGTGCACTGACTTACAACCACAGCTGGAGACAGGACATGGGGGAGGAGGGCAGAGTTCTCGAGAAAGCCCCCTGTGGAGAGGGTGGGTCAGTCGGTGGTGGATCACCGGTACCAATATCGCGCTCTGAAGTCATCGCTGCACGTCATGAACATGGGGTTGGTGGGCGAGTGCACTATGCAGCATACAATGTTGTTGTGCCCCAAAGAAAGCAGGTTTCTCCGCTTGGCTGTCCTCAAGTCCCAGCAGCAGAGACTGATCGTCCTCTCATCGGGCAGCAACACATAGTCCTCGGTGTGGGCAAACACAGCCTGTGTCCGGTGCACCTGGCGTCCACTCAGACCCGTACCCGTGTATCTGACCAGTGTTCGTCCCATTGATTTTTCCCAAAGTTTAGCTACAGAGTCTTTTCCACTTGAGAGAATGTATTTAGAATTTTTGAAAAAAATGGCAGACCAAACTTCAGCCCCATCATGTACTTTTTCAAAAGTTGTGATGCGAGGAGGACTCAAGATGGCGCTGTGAGAACAACTCAGGATTGGAGCTCTTCTCGTTGAATCCGCAAACGGTGAGTCAGAGCGGCATTTCCAGACTGATCTTTGTTGCCCACAGAATGGGGAAACTCCCAAGTATAAAAAAGACACGGGACGCCAGGCAGTAGGTCTGCCTGGCGAAGCCGGCAGCCGGGGCGGCGGCGGCCGGCTCTACCCAGCATCCCCACAGGGCGTGCTTGTCCGGGTGCCCTGTTGAACCGGCAACCTGAGACTTGAGAGGGCTGGACTTGAGACTGAATGAGACTTGGACAGTAGACCAGCCCAGGGGATTGCAGGGATTGGGATACCCAGTGGGACGAACAAAACCGCGATTTCAAACTATCCCGAGCAGACGGTCCGAGACGCTCTGTGGGGGAGGGGCGTCCACCACTACCGAGGCAACCCGCCCCAACTGAGATACACGCCCAGTGCTGATGCAGCCAGCCGTTGCCGAGGCAACCCGCCCCAACTGAGATACACGCCCATTGCTGACGCAGCCAGCCGTTGCCGAGGCAACCCATCCCTACTGAGATACACGCCCACTGCTGACGCAGCCTGCCATTGCTGAGGCAACACACTACAACAAAGAGACTCCGCCGCAGGGCGTGGCGGAGACCACAGCGGAGCCGGCAGGAACAGCGCGAATCACACAACAGCAGGGCGGAGCCTCGGCAGCCAAACAGTGGCTAGTCTGCCTTCTAGCTGGGCAGGACACCTGATCGGACATCCAAAAATAAAGCCCAAACCCCTCAACACAGAGCATTTGAGAGAAAAAAAAAAGGGTTTTTTAATGAGCTGTGTTGCAGCAGAATAAAACTTAGCAGCCTAACAGCCCTGAATGAACAACAGAGTGCACAGCTCAGCAATTAAACCCCTATAAAGTACAAACTGTCTCCTCAAGCAGCTCCCTGACCCCTCTATATCCAAAAGACTGACATTAGGCAAGTTTCAATAGCTGAATTGACCAAGCAGAAGAAAGAATATCTGAAGTCGAAGACCAACTCAATGAAATAAAACGAGAAACCAAGATCAGAGAAAAAAGCGCAAAAAGGGATGAACAAAATCTCCAAGAAATGTGGGACTATGTGAAAAGACCTAAGCTACGTTTGATAGGTGTACCAGAAGGGGACGAAGAGAATGAATCCAAGCTGGAAAATACTCTTCAGGACATCATCCAGGAAAATTTCCCCCACCTAGCAAGACAAGCCAACACTCAATTGCAGGAAATACAGAGAACACCACAAAGATATTCCGCAAGAAGAGCAACCCCAAGGCACATAATCGTCAGATTCAACAGGGTTGAAATAAAGGAGAGAATACTAAGGGCAGCCAGAGAGAAAGGTCGGGTCACCCACAAAGGGAAGCCCATCAGACTCACAGCAGATCTCTCGGCAGAAACACTACAAGCCAGAAGAGAGTGGGGGCCAATATTCAACATTCTTAAAGAAAAGAACTTTCAACCCAGAATTTCATATCCAGCCAAACTGAGCTTCAGAAGTGAAGGAAGAATAAAATCCTTTGCGAACAAGCAAGTACTCAGAGATTTTGTCACCACCAGGCCTGCTTTACAGGAGCTCCTAAAAGAGGCACTACACATAGAAAGGATCAATCAGTACCAGCCATTCCAAAATCACACTGAATGCTAAAGAGCTTCAACATAATGAAGAATCTACAACAACTAACAGGCAAAACAGCCACTTAGCATCAAAATGGCAGTATCAAATTCACACATAACAATATTAACCCTAAATGTAAATGGACTCAATGCACCAATCAAAAGACACAGACTGGCAAATTGGATAAAAAATCCAAAACCCATCAGTGTGCTGTATCCAGGAAACCCATCTCACATGCAAGGATACACAAAGGCTCAAAATAAACGGATGGAGGAAGATTTACCAAGCTAATGGAAAGCAAAAAAAAGCAGGAGTTGCAATTCTCATCTCTGATAAAATAGACTTTAAAGCAACAAAGATCAAAAGAGACAAAGAAGGCCATTACATAACGGTAAAAGGATCGATACAACAAGAAGAGCTAACGATCCTAAACATATATGGACCCAACACAGGAGCACCAAGATACATAAGGCAAGTTCTTAATGACTTACAAAAGGACTTAGACTCCCACACAATAATAGTGGGAGACTTTAACACTCCACTGTCAATACTAGACAGATCAACCAGACAGAAAATCAACAAGGATATCCAGGGCTTGAACTCAGACCTGGAGCAAGCAAACATGATAGACATTTACAGAAATTTCCATCCCGAATCCACAGAATATACATTCTTCTCAGCACCACATCACACCTACTCTAAAATTGACCACATAATTGGAAGTAAAGCGCTCCTTATCAAATGCAGAACAGCTGAAATTATAACAAACAGCCTCTCAGACCATAGTGCAATCAAGTTAGAACTCAGAATTCAGAAACTAACTCAGAACCTCACAGCTTCATGGAAACTGAACAACTGGCTCTTGAAGGTTGACTGGATAAACAATGAAATGAAGGCAGAAATAAAGAAGTTCTCCGAAACAAACAAGAATGAAGACACAACATGCCAGAATCTCTGGGACACATTTAAAGCAGTCTCTGGAGGAAAATATATAGCAATAAGTGCCCATATGAGAAGAGTGGAGAGATACAAAATTGACACCCTATCATCAAAATTGAAAGAGCTAGAAGAGCAAGATAAAAAAAAACTCAAAACCCAGCAGAAGACAAGAAATTACTAAGATCAGAGCTGAGCTGAAGGAGATTGAGACACGAAAAACCCTTCAAAAAATCAATAAATCCAAGAGCTGGTTTTTTGAAAAGATCAACAAAATAGACAGACCACTAGCCAGATTGATTAAAAATAAAAGAGAGAACAACCAAATAGATGCAATAAAAAATGATAAAGGGGAAATTACCACAGATTCCACAGAAATTCAAACCATCATCAGAGAATATTACAAACAACTATATGCGCATAAACTAGTAAACCTGGAAGAAATGGATAAATTCCTGGATTCCTGTGTCCTCCCAAGCCTAAACCAGGAGGAAGCTGAAACTATGAATAGACCAATAACAAGGTCTGAAGTCGAGGCAGCAATTAAGAGCCTACCTCACAAAAAAAGCCCAGGTCCAGACGGGTTCACAGCCGAATTCTACCAGACACACAAGGAGGAGCTGGTACCATTCCTTCTAAAACTATTTCAAACAATCCAAAAAGAGGGAATCCTTCCCAAATCATTTTATGAGACCAACATCATCCTGATACCGAAACCCGGCAGAGACCCAACGAGAAAAGAAAACTTCAGGCCAATATCCATGATGAATATAGATGCAAAAATCTTCAATAAAATATTGGCAAGCCGATTGCAACAGCAAATCAAAAAACTTATTCATCATGATCAAGTAGGATTCATCCTGGGGATGCAAGGCTGGTTCAACATACGCAAGTCTATCAACGTAATTCACCACATAAACAGAACCAAAAACAAAAACCACATGATTATCTCAATTGATGCAGAGAAGGCATTTGACAAAATTCAACAGCCCTTTATGCTAAAAACCCTCAATAAACTCGGTATCGATGGAACGTATCTCAAAGTAATAAAAGCTATTTATGACAAACCAACAGCCAATATCATACTGAATGGGCAAAAACTGGAAGCATTCCCTTTGAAATCTGGCACTAGACAAGGATGCCCTCTCTCACCACTCCTATTCAATATAGTACTGGAAGTTCTAGCCAGAGCAATCAGGCAAGAAAAAGAAATAAAGGGTATTCAAATAGGAAAGGTGGAAGCCAAATTGTCTCTATTTGCAGACGACATGATAGTATACCTAGAAGACCCCATTGCCTCAGCCCAAAAACTCCTGAAACTGATAAACAACTTCAGCAAAGTCTCAGGATATAAAATCAATGTGCAAAAATCACAAGCATTCGTCTACACCAATAACAGACTTAAAGAAAGCCAAATCAAGAGCGAACTGCCATTTGCAATTGCTACAAAAAGAATAAAATACCTTGGAATACAACTCACAAGGAACGTAAGGGACCTCTTCAAGGAGAACTACAAACCACTGCTCAACGAAATCAGAGAGGACACAAACAGATGGAGAAACGTTCCATGTCCATGGTTAGGAAGAATTAACATCGTGAAAATGGCTATACTGCCCAAAGTAATTTACAGAATCAACGCTATCCCCATTAAGCTACCATTGACTTTCTTCACAGAACTGGAAAAAAACACCATGAACTTCATATGGAACCAAAAGAGAGCCCGCATAGCCAAGTCAGTTCTAAGCAAAAAGAACACAGCGGGGGGCATCACACTACCGGATTTCAAACTATACTACAAGGCTACAGTAATCAAAACAGCATGGTACTGGTACCAAAACAGAGATATAGACCAATGGAACAAAACAGAGGCACCGGAGGGAACACAACATACATACACCTATACAATCTTTGATAAACCTGACAAAAACAAGCAATGGGGCAAGGATTCCATGTTTAACAAATGGTGTTGGGAAAACTGGCTAGCCATGTGCAGAAAGCAGAAACTGGACCCCTTCCTGACACCTTACACTAAAATTAACTCCAGATGGATTAAAGACTTAAACATAAGACCTGGCACCATAAAAACCCTAGAAGGAAATCTAGGCAAAACTATCCAGGACATAGGAGTAGGCAAGGACTTCATGAACAAAACACCAAAAACATTGGCAACAAAAGCCAAAATAGACAAATGGGACCTAATCAAACTCCACAGCTTCTGCACGGCAAAAGAAACAGTCACTAGAGTGGATCAGCAACCAACAGAATGGGAAAATATTTTCGCAGTCTACCCATCTGACAAAGGGCTGATATCCAGAATTTACAAAGAACTCAAGCAGTTTTACAGGAAAAAAACAAACAAGCCCATTCAAAAGTGGGCAAAGGATATGAACAGACACTTTACGAAAGAAGACATATATGAGGCCAACAATCATATGAAAAAATGCTCATCGTCACTGGTCATCAGAGAGATGCAAATCAAAACCACATTGAGATACCATCTCACGCCAGTTAGAATGGCGATCATTAAAAAATCTGGAGACAACAGATGCTGGAGAGGATGTGGAGAAAAAGGAACACTTTTACACTGTTGGTGGGAGTGTAAATTAGTTCAACCATTGTGGAAGACAGTGTGGCGATTCCTCAAGGCCTTAGAAATAGAAATTCCATTTGACCCAGCAATCCCATTACTGGGTATATATCCAAAAGACTATAAATTGTTCTACTATAAGGACACATGTACACGAATGTTCATTGCAGCACTGTTTACAATAGCAAAGACCTAGAATCAACCCAAATGCCCATTGATAATGGACTGGATTGGAAAAATGTGGCACATATACACCATGGAATATTATGCAGCAATCAGAAATGATGAGTTCCTGTCGTTTGTAGGGACATGGATGAATCTGGAGAACATCATCCTCAGCAAACTGACACAAGAACAGAAAATGAAACACCGCATATTCTCACTCATAGGTGGGTGACGAAAAATGAGAACACATGGACACAGAAAGGGGAGTTCTAAACACTGGGGTCTATTGGGGGGAAAAGGGGAGGGCCAGTGGGAGGGGGAGGTGGGGAGGGATTGCCTGGGGAGAAATGCCAAATGTGGGTGAAGGGGAGAAGAAAACAAAGCACACTGCCATGTGTGTACCTACGCAACTGTCTTGCATGCTCTGCTCATGTACCCCAAAACCTATAATCCAATAAAAAATTAAAAAAAAAAAAAAAAAGAAAATGGATAGAGCTCAGGAACAGACAAGTAACAGAAAAAACATAGCTGTCCATTTAAAAACATTGATAATCGCTGAGCCTAACAAAAATCGTGAAAATACAGTTTTTAAAACAATAAAAAAATAAAAAACAGTTGTGATGCATCGATTTGAAACATCACAACTTTGATCCCATAATTTGATGCAGCCATCCTTGCTTCCAGTTATATACATATTGGCTCTAGAATTGTAATTAACGGAACATATAGCATCAGTGTATTGATCTTGAGGATTGCAAGAGACAAAGCATTGAAAGGTGTTGATATCATATAGACGAAGAGTAGGATGCTGAGTTCCAACAAGTATAAAGTCTCCAGAAGGATGAAAAGAGATGGAGCGTAACATTTCAGCTTCCTGAATGTATTTGAAGGCTCTTTTTGCTGATGGTTTGGAATAATCAAATAATTTAAGAGTATAATCCCTTGAACCAGAAGCCAGAATCTGTTCTGTTGGGTGGAAAGCGAGGCATGTGACTTCATCCACATGGTCACAAAGAGTTCGAATCACTGGGCGGTTTTCCATATTTTGTTGTGCGGTCTCATTCATCATGACCTCTATTGGCATGGCACTTTTGGCTAAGATCCTCTCTGTGTCAAGTATCTTTATCGAAGCATCAACAGACCCAGTAGCTATTAACTGTCCATCTCTACTATAGGTATCTACATGGCATGGTCCCTTATGTGATGTGACATAGCATGTTTCATACTCAGAAGCCTCTGGGGACATAGTCTGGACCTCTGCATCAAATTCCAGGTCAATTCCTTTGCCAGGGGCAACAGTATCTGAACGACCAATTGCATACTGCACTGTGGTGTCATCATTTTCCATTCCTAGTTTGATGAGATGCAGGAGCTGCTCCGCGGGTGCACAGACAGACTGAGGCTTGATTTCATTGATCAGGCCATTGGCGATGCTGACGTGGCTGTCATACAGCAGCTGGCTAATTATCAGCTTGTAGAGCTGCTGGCAGTCCTTCACGCCCAGTTTGGTTCTGTACATCTTGGAGAAGAGGAAGACAGTTTTCCTGCCAGCAGCTGGTCCGGTTCTCTCGGTCTCCTGCTCTCTCCTGGGAAAATGGAGGCGCGAATAGTATTTTCCTTTACTTGATCAATTCCGCTGCTAAGCGACTCTGATGTATTGTTCAGTATATCGACTGCATTTTTCAGCTCCAGAATTTCTGCCTGATTCTTTAAAATTAATTTGATGTCTTTGTTAAATTTATATAATAGGATTCTGAGTTCTTTCTCTGTGTTATCCTGATTTTTTTGTTTCTTCAAAACTGCTGTTTTGAAGTCTTCATCTGAAAGGTTCTTCAGTCTCTGCCTTTCCTGGATAGACCACTGGTACCTTACTTAGTTGGTTTGGTGAGGTCATATTTTCCTGGATGTTCTTGATGCATATAGATGTTCACTGGTGTCTGGGCATTGAAGAGTTTTGAATTTATTTTAGTCATGATGGTCTGGGCTTCTTCGTATTATCCTTTCTGGGAAGGCTTTCCAGGTATTCAAAGGGACTTGGGTATTGTGGTCTAACTTTTCAGTCACAGTAGCTGTATCTGCATTAGCAAACACTGCAAGCCCAGTAATCATGTGGCTCTTGCTGACTCATAGAGGTATCACCTTGTTGAACTTGGGTAAAATCTGGAATAATTCTCTGGAGCACCAAGCAGAGACTTTTGTTCTCTTCCCATACTTTCTCCAAAACAGACTCTCTCTCTCTTTCTCTGTCCTGAACTACCTGGTGCTAGGGGAGGGAGTGACACACACAAATACCCCTGTGGTTGCCACAGATCTGAAGCCAGCCCAGCACTGGGTCTTGCTGATGGCCCCTGGTAACCACTGCCTGATTACCACCTATGTTTGTTCAAGGCCCTAGGGTTCTACAATCAGCAGGTGATGAATCTAGCCAGGCTTGAGTCATTTTCTTCATGCCTTTGAGCTCCCTCTCTTCTTGGGCACGTGCTGTCTTAGAACCAGAGCCTAGAATTGGAACCCTTAGGAATCTACCTGATTCTCTATTCCAATGTGGCTGAGCTGGTATCAAAACCACAAATCATAGTTCCTCCCATTCTTGTCTCCCTTTTCCATAAACAGAGCGATCACTCTTCATGGCCACCATCATTCCATGCCCACAGTGAATACTGCCTGCCTACAACCAATGTTTATTCAATGACCAAGAGCTCTTCAGTTAACCTGTGGTAACAGCTGCCAGGCTTAGGACACTGCCTTTAGGGTAGTGGACGCCTCACTGGCCCAGGGCAGGTCCAGAAATGTTGTTCTAGAGCCAAGGCCTAAACTGGGGACCTCCAAAGCCTGCTCGGTGTTTTCCCTTACTGTGGTCAAGCTGGTATATAAGCTGACTTTTGGTTCTTATGAAGGTGCTTTTGTGTGGATAGCTGATGAATTTGGTATTTCTGCAAGGAGGACAATTGATGGAGGCTTCTAGTTGGCTATCCTGCTCCACTTCCTACATAGATAATTTTAAATATACTAATAACCACGTTTAAAAAAAAGTAAAAAGAATTGGTGAAATCCATTTCAACAATATATTTAATTAAGCTCAATCTATCCAAAATATTACCATTTCAACATGTAACTGCTATAAATTCATTACTGAGATAGTTTACATTTTTTTCATACTGCATATAATAAAAACACTATGTATTTTACCCTTTAAGCCTGTCTCAATTAGAGCAAGTCACACTTCAAGTCCTCAACAGCCACATGTCGCTAGTGGCTACTGTATTAGACAGCACACATCTGTATTGTTGAATTGTGTAACTGTGGACTTGGATGTGTTTATCCAAATTAGCTATTAAAAAATCTTTGCAATTAACTTACCCTTATCCCTTCATTCAACTTATGCTAAGTATCTGCATTAGTTTCCAATGTCTCTTTTCTTTTTAGCAGATCACCTCAAATTTAGTGACTTTAAGCAACCCAACTTTATTATCTTACAGTTTTGGAGGTCAGAAATCTAAAATCAGTCAGCAAGGCTGTATTCCTCCTGAGGGCTATAGGAGAGAATCAGTTTCTTGCCTTTTTCTGTTTCCAGAAGCTGCCTTTTTTTTTTTTAGTTTGTGGAAGCATCACTCTAATCTCTTCTCCCATTGCCATGTCTCCTCTGACTCTGTCTCAAATGCTCTCCTCTCATAAAAACCTTGGTGATTTGGTACCAGTACCATGCTGTTTTGATTACTGTAGCATTGTAGTATAGTTTGAAGTCAGGGAGTGTGATGCCTCCAGCTTTGTTCTTTTTGCTTAGGATTGTCTTGGCTATGTGGGCTCTCTTTTGGTTCCATATGAAGTTTAAGGTGTTTTTTTCCATTTGGGACATGGATGAATCTGGAAACCATCATTCTCAGCAAACTGACACAAGAGCAGAAAATCAAACACCACATGTTCTCACTCACAGGTGGATATTGAACAATGAGAACACATGGACACAGGGAGGGGAGCATCACACACTGGGGTCTGTTGCGGGGCATAAAGGAGGCACAGCGGGGGTTGAGGAGGTTGGGGGGATAACATGGGAAGAAATGCCAGATATAGGTGTTGGGGGGATGGAAGCAGCAAACTACCTTGCCATGTATGTACCTATGCAACAATCCTGCGTGATCTGCACATGTACCCCAGAACCTAAAGTACAATTAAAAAAAAAAACCTTGGTGATTATGCTGGGCTTACCTGGTTAACCCAAGACAACCTACCATCACAAGATTCTTAATTTAGGGCCGGGCGCAGTGGCTCATGCCTGTAATCCTAGCACTTTGGGAGGCCGAGGTGGGTGGATCACCTGAGGTCAGGAGTTCAAGACAAGATCCTTAATTTAATCCCATCTGCAAAGTCCCTTTTGGCATGTAAGGAAATATAATCATAGATTTTGTTGACTAAAAAACGGGCATATTTAGGGGAGTACCCGATCTGTTCAAGGCAAGAGTAAGTCTAGAAAGTTGTCCAGGAACTAATGTATAGTATTGTAAGTTCTAGCTCAAGGACCTAGGGTTTGGATTCAAAAAATGACCATGTCTTTCATGTACTCCTTTGCCACAGACGTGTCTAAAATAATAAGATGATCTCTCATTTTGTGATATGCAGTCACTCATCAAAACGTTTGCCTTTAATAATTAGTCATGGACAAATGTGTCAATTTGCAAATTTTGTTCACTTTATGCAACTCTGCTTATTTTGGCTGTTTGTACATGCAGTTTCATACTTTGTCTGTCTTCAGCCACTCCAACTCTAGTATCTCTTTCTGTCTCACTTCTTTTTTCATGAGACCTCATTTGATTCTTCAAATGTGCCCTATTTTCTCCAACCCAGGACCTTTGCATATGTCTTCCTTTTTGCCTGAAGTACTCTTTACCTCCCTCTTTAACTAATAATGGTTTTAAGACATTTTTAAAGGCATAGAAACAATTAATTTTTCACCTTGTCTTTCTCTTTCTTTTGTTGAAGTAATCATTAGATTGAACTGATCATTCCTGTGTGTGTATGTTAAGGAAACATAAAGCAGAGACCTCTTTCCAGCAAGTTACAGAATCTTAAGAGATGTTTTCATCACTCCAAGCCAGTCAGAGACAAGCAACTGTTGCTAGATAACTCTTCTGCAAAATGAACCGTGTATGAGTTCAGACATTATGTAGGGATCTCAATTCCAATTCTTCATTGTATGTGAGTATAAAAGGCCTCCTCTGCTTTCTACATGTGGGCAACAGAGAAGAAGCCCTAGAAATATAAAGCCCACCGTATCTGATGGCAAGGTTAGCTTCTGTTTACACTGTTTTGTGTTGTATGTTTTCCTCGCATTTCTGCTTTGTGTTGTGTTTTGTCCTTGCATTTCTCTCCCTCCCCTCCCTCCCTCCCTCCTTCCCTCCCTTCCTTCCTCTCTCCTCCCTTCCTTCCCTCCTTCCTCTCTCTCTCCTTCCTTCCTTCTCCCTCTCTCGTTCCTTCCTTCTCCCTCTCTCCTTTCTTCCCTCCCTCCCTCCCTCCCTCCCTTCCTTCCTTCCTTCCTTCCTTTCTTCCTTCCTTCGAGTTTCACTCCTGGTGCCCATACTGGAGTGTAATGGCATGATCTCAGCTTACTGTAATCTCTGTCTCCCAGGTTCAAGCAATTATCCTTGCCTCAGCCTCCTGACTAGCTGGAATTACAGGAGCCCACCACCATGCCCAGCTAATTTTTACCAAGTTTGTCAGGCTGGTCTCAAAATCCTAACCTCAGGTGATCTGCCCACCTCAGCCTCCCAAAGTGCTGGGATTACAGGCATGAGACATGGCACCCGGTCTGTCCTTTCATTTCTTATCAGCTGGGATTTCTCTTTTTTGCAAATTCAGCTAAAAGGATGTTTGTAATTTCTCATACTACATTTCTAGATTATTTGCTGAGCATTTCTCTTTTTTCTTCCACATTCCTAGAACAAGAAGTCTTCAGCACTCATTTAGTTTCATTTATGTTCTGTAGCTCAATTCTAAAAACCACATTGTCATCTCTACATCCTAGAGAAAAAAAAAAAAAGTCATCTCTATTCTAGAGAATGAAAAACAATCTGGCCCAGGGACAAACAGCAACAACAAAAATAAGAAAAATAACAAAATAATGCCCATGGGAAGGTTTTATACTTCCTCTTTCTAGGTGTATTGGAGAGAGATTGTATGTGGTTGACATTACTATGCATTTTGTGTTTCAGCCATAGCTCCATTCAGTGAGCAGCTGCCACTCACGAGCTGATAGCCTCCCAGACTACAAAGTGAGGGGGATGAAAGAAGTACTATTTTAACTGATGTAGAATAGAGAGGGAATTTATGTCAATTTATAAGATTTTGTGCATACAGAGGAACCTAAGGACAGTCAGGAGACTGGCATGCCTGAAACACCTATATCCTTACTTAAAAAATAGTTGGCAGTATGTTATATGCATGTTGCACATTAAGGTTACCTAGGAATTTTCATTGTTTATTTGCAGTAGATATATTTCCTAACAAATGTGTTCTATAGTGCTGAGCTCCATACATACTTTGCAGCAATTTTGCCTATCTTTTCTTGTAGGTTTTCCATATTCAAAGGAGTGCTC